TGCCCAACCTTCCTTCCGAGGAGTGGCTGGTGGGTTTGAACCGCCAGCCTTCTGGTTAGCAGTCAAATGCTTTAGCCACTATGCTACCAGAGCTCACATTAGCTAAGCACAATCAGAAAAGTCATGATAAATTTCTAATTTTATCATGGGACAGGGGTGGGGGGACAGTTAGATCCACTTAGCAAATGTAAATGAACAAAAGATATCCAAAATAAAGTTGCTTTGTTATTTCATTCCACAAGACATGCTTTTCAGCACACCAGTTATGTGACTAATATAACATTGGCCACCTGAAAGAACCATAAACCACCCACAGTAACTTTGAAGATATTTTTTAACATGCAAGGAAATGTACAAAGCATATTCTGACCAGTCAAATAATAAAAATTTTCAAGCATGAGACAATTTAAATATGGAATTTTTTCCTTTACAGTAATCCCTTCCGCTAGTCCTTCCCACTGTTTTCTACTATGCCCAGGCATTCTAAAACCAACTATGAATAGCACCAATAGCCTGATATGAGGAATTATAATATATAATGGAATAATGTCACCTGCTTTAATATCCTGGTCCATTGGAAAGAATGTTCATGGAAATCAGTTTCCTACTTTAACAATGGCCCAGAACATGTTAAAGTTTTCATCTGGCAAAACTGGGCAGGTTGTGATCCTATCCTTCTGGTAGGAAAGACTGATTAGAGAGAAGGAAGATGTGGAATGGGGTCTGGCTCAGTTACATACCAAGTACCTTACAATCAATTAATACAAGTCATAAGTCTTTTAGTTCCATTTTTAGCAGTTGCCTCAGACTTCCTTTTCTTTACTTCTGATTTGGATACCACTCCACTCTCTTAAAGGTTCTGATCATTGAATTTGATAATTAGAAATTCCTACCATATAAAATTTCCAAAATTTTCAATTTTGACACAGTATATAAATAAAATCTTTTCAAATATTGTACAATGGAAATTTTTCTGAACATGTGCTTTAGTTTAAAATATTTATGCAAAAACAGAATTAGGTGAATTTGAAAAGAACTATACTAAGTGGAAAAGTATATATACAAACTGCATTTGTATGATTACAATTATGATTTTAAAATAGATACATACATATAATCGTAAGAATTGATATAGGAACACACAAATTTTAAATAGTATATTTATTTTCTTCTTTGTATTTCCAAATTTTGTGCAGTAAATGTGCAGTAGTTTTTATAATTACAGAAAGAAGTTATTTAAAAATCTTACCTCTCCAACATATTTGACTGTTTTTCAAATATTTTCAACATGGTATTCAATCTATTAGTCACCGAAAAACCAGTTTCTATTATAAAAGAAAAGTTTTACAAGTATTACAAATGACTGAAGTTTTAGCTCTATGCTGACATAACTTGCTATTATCTATATGTGTGAAAATTAGACAAACATAGAGAGCAGATATCAAGGTCCCATAGGTAGTCAAAGAACAAAATGCTTGTGATGAGAATAGCTACCATTTTATTAAACATTTACTGTGTGCAAGTCACTATGCTACTTTATGTACTCTTAATCCTTTAAAAATAAATATTGTCACCATTTTCAAATAAAAAATTTAAAGGTCAAAGAGGTTATATAATTTGATCAAAACTATACATCTAGTAAGTGACAAAACTGAATGGTGCTCAGTGTACATGATTTCCTCATGGTATGGTATTGCATATAAGACAATTGCTTTCATTGCTTCTGCTCAGTCAATAAATGCTATGGAAAAATCTAGCAAATCTATTAAGTTTTCCAATTAAGTCAAATAACCTAAATTTGACTGCTAACCAGAGGCTGATGGTTCAAACCCACCAGCCACTCCTTGGAAGGAAGACTGGGCAATCTACTTTCGTAGCGATACCACCTCAGAAACCCAAAGACGGGTCACTGTGAGTTGGAATCGACTCAACAGCAGGGAGTTTGGGTTTTTTTGGTTGCTACTGCTAAGTCAATAAGTGCTACGGAAAAAAAATCTAGCAGCTCTATTAAGTTTTCCAATTAAATCAAATAACTTTAATTGAGGAGAAAGAAGTAAAACTATCTCTTTCTTGCAGATGACATGACCTTATATATAGTAAATCCCAAAGAATCCATAAGAAATGTACTACAGCTAATAAATGAATTCAGCAAAATGAAGGATATAACGTCAACACACAAAAAATCAGTTGGGTGTCTATACACCAGCAATGAGCAACCTGAAATGAAAATTAAGAAAACAATTTCATTTACAATAGCACCTAAAAGAATAAAATGCCTAGGGAACTGAATGATTTGTACATTGAAAATTATAAAACATTCTGAAAGAAATTAAGGAAGATCTAAATAAATGGAAAGATATCTTGTGTTTATGGTTTGGAAGACTTAATATGGTTAAGATGTCAATACTATCCAAAGTTGTCTACAGATTCAATGTAATCCCATCAAAATTCCAACAGTCTCCTTTGCAGAAATAAAAAAGACAGTCCTCAAATTTATATGGAGTTGAAATGGCCCCAGACACTCAAAGCAATCTTGAAAAATAAAAAGAAAGTAGGAAGACTCATACTTCTTGATACAGTAACCAAAACAGACTGGTACTGGTATAATGATAGACATATAGACCAGTGTAAAAGCATTGAAAGTCCATAAATAAATCCATTCACATATGGCCAATTTATTTTCAACAAGGGTGCTAAGTTCATTCAATGGGAAAAAAATTAGTCTCTTCAATAAATGGTGCTGGGACAACTGGATCTCCAAATACAAAAGAATAAAGTTGGACCCATGTCTCACACCGTACAAAAATTTACTAAAAATAGATGACCTAATCTAAAAAATAGACCTAAATGCAAGAACTAAAACCATAAAAATCTTAGAAAAAAACATAGGAGTAATGCTTGACGACCAGTTGGTGAGGATCTGCAGAAACTGAAGATCTCATCTTAGCTGGTGGGAATACAAAATGGTGCACCCGCTGTAGAAAGCAGTATAGTATGATGATGGTTCCTCAAAATGTTAAACACAGAATTACCATACAACACAGAGATGCCACTCCTATGAATACAAAAAAAAAAAAAAAAACTTAAAAGCAGAGACTCATACAGATACTTATACACCAATGTTCACAGCAGCATTTTTCACAATAGCCAACCCAAGTACCCATCAACCATTGAATGACTGTGTAAAATGTGGTATATACATACAATGGATCTTTTTCAGCCATAAAGAGAAATAAAGTTCTCATATATGCTATGATATGGATAAACCTTGCAAAGATTATGCTGAGTGAAATAAGTCAAACACAAAAGGAAAAATATTGTGTGATCTCCCTTTCATGATATATCCAGAACAGGAAAATACTTAGAGACCAGAGTTTATTAATGTTTACCTTGGGTAGGAGGGAGAAGAAAATGGGGAGGCATTGCTTAAGGGGTACTAAATTTCTGTTGAAGGTGATGAAGAAATTTGGAAATGGATAATGATAAAATTGCACAACACGGTGACTGTAAGTAATGTCACTGCATTGTACACATAAAAATGGCTAAAGTTTTATTAAATATATTTTACCACAATAAATATTCTTTTAAAGTTAAAACTCAGGAGAAAGTGCTCTGATGAATAACCTTAAATTCATAGCAAATTTTCAAATCACAATCTTTAGAACAAATGAGTTTTTGATAAACACATTATCATCTTTCTAGAAATTCTAGCACTGTAAATAAAGAATTACTAGAAATACCATCTAAAAATAATATTAATTTGTAAAGATCACTGAATTAAAAAAAAATTATTGTGCTGTTGGTGAAAGTTTACAGACCAAACTAGCTTCCCATTTGATAGTTTGTACTTAAAAGTTTTCCATGACTTTGGTTGCCTTCCCCACAATGTGTCAGCATGCTCCGCACTCCCAGCCTGAGTTCTCTGTTTCCTTTTGTTCAAACTTTCTACCCTTTCTTGCCTTCTCATCTTTGCTTTTGAGCAAATATGGTCTTTTTGATCTCATATAATTGATTGTTCTAAAGAACACATTCCTCTCAGCTATTACTTTTATTTTTATTTACGAGCCTGTCTATTGTTTGGCCAAAAAATAGTCTCCAGGAATGGCTTCAGTTCCGGTTCAGAAGGGTGTCTTAGGGTCATAGTCTAAATAATTAATTCATCATTATTCTTTATCATTATGTAGTATTCCATTGAGTGTATGTGCCACTGTTTGTTTATCCATTCATCTGTTGATGGGCATTTATTCCTTCTACCTTTTTGCTATTGTGAATAACACTGCAATGAATATGGGTATGCATATGTCTATTTGTATCATGACATTCTTTAATGAGATGGAAAACTAATCACAAACTTTATATGGAAAGGAAAGAGACCTTGAGTAAGTAAACCATTATTGAAGAGAACAAAGTAGGAGGCCTCACACTGTCTGATTTCAGAACCTCCTTTATAGCCATGGTAGTCAAAACAGCCTAGTACTGGCACAACAACAGACACATAGACCAATGGAACAGAATTGAGAATGCAGATGTAAATGTATACACCTTTGGACAGCTAATCTTTGACAATGGGCCAAAGTCCATAAAATGCATAAGAAACAATCTCTTTAACAAATGTTGCTGCCAAACTGGATGCCTATCTGCAGAAAAATGAAATAGGGCCCATACCTCACACCATACACAAAAACTAACTCAAAATTAATCAAAGACCTAAATATAAAACTATAAAGATCATGGAAGAAAAAATTGAGACTAGGCTAGAGGCTCTAATATATAGCATAAAGAGGATACCAAGGGAGCTCTCGTGGTGTAGTGCCTAAGGCATTTGGCTGCTAACAGAAGGCTGGTGGCTCAAACCCACCAGTCACTCCTCAGAAGGAAGATGGGGCAATCTACTTCTGTTGTGATACTGCCTTGGAAACCCAAGGAGGGGTCCCTATGAGTCAGATCCGACTCCACAGCAGTGAGTTGAGGATACCAAACATAATTTTAAAAAATGCACAAACAGCAGAAGAACTAAATAAATGTTGTTGTTAGGTGTTGTCAAATCATTTCCGACTCATAGTGACCTTATGCACAGCAGAATGAAATACTGCCCAGTCCTGTGCCAGCCTCATGATCTTTGTTATACCTGAGCCCACTGTTGCAGTCACTATGTCTTTCCATCTCATTGAGGGCCTTCCCCTTCATTGTTGACCCTTCACTTTACTAAGCATGATATCCTTCTCCAGGGAATGGTTCTTCTGACAACATGACCAAAGTAGGTGAGACAAAGTCAGGCAACTCTCTCTTCCAAGGAGCATTCTGGCTGCACCTCCTCCATGACAGATTTGTTAGTCCTTTTAGCAGATCACGGTACTCTTAGCATTCTTCTCCAATACCACAATTCAAAACCATCAATTCTTTCAGTCTTCCTTATTCATTGTCCAGCTCTCACATGCATAAGAGGTGATCGAAAATACCTTGGCTTAGGTGAGGCGCACTTTAGTCTTCAAGGAGACATCCTTGCTTCTCATCCCTTGATAAAAGTTATTTCCAACAGATTTGCCCAATGCAATAATATGTCATCTGATGTCTTGACTGCTGTTTCCATTGGTGTTGATTGTAGAGCCAAGTAATATGAAATCCTTGACAACTTCAATCTTTTCTCCATCTACTGTGAAGCTGTTTATTGGACCAGTTGTGAGGATTTTTGCTTTCTTTATATTGAGGAGTAATCCATACTGCAGACTGTAGTCTTTAATCTTCATCAGTCAGTGCTTCAAGTCATCCTCACTTTCAGCAAGCAAAGTTGTGTCATCTGCTTATCACAGGTTGTTAATGAATCTTCCTCCAATCCTGGCATTCTTCTTCATATAGGCCTGCCTCTCACATTATTTGCTCATCATACAAATTGAATAAGTATGGTGAAAGGATACAACCTTGATGCACTCCCTTCTTGATTTGGAACCATGCAATAGCCCCTTGTTTTGTTCAAATGACAGCCTCCTGTTCCTCATGAGTACAATCAGTGTTCTGGAATTCCCATTCTTCTCAATGTTATCCACAATTTGTTATGAGTCACACAATTGAATGCTTTGGCCTAGTCAATATAACATAAGTAAACATCTTTCTAGTATACTTTGCTTTCATTTAAGATCCTTCTAACATCAGCAATGATATCACTCATTTCATGTCCTCTTCTGAATCCAGCTTGCATTTCTGGAAGCTCTCTGTCAATATATTGCTGCAACCATTTTTAAATTATGTTCAGTATGATTTTACTTGCATGTGATATTAATGGTATTGTTCAATAATTTTCACATTCTGTGGGATCACCTTTCTTTGG